CTAAAAAATTACGGTAAAGTTGTGGCAATCGGATATCAGTAGTATTTATCAAGGTTGAAGGCTATACAATCACCTAAATCTGACTATTAATTAGCAACTTTTTGTTACCCTAATTACTAATTAGTTTAATCTTACGTTTCGGTTGCTAATCTGCTGCTATATTCAAAAAAGTCCTAAGAATGTATTTCTATGTTGTACTGGCTGAGTTTTGATCCTGGGCCTTCTTGACGGAATTCTGGTGCGTTATCCAATCAATTAGGATAATGAGATGCAAACCATGAATCCTCAGATTCACATTTTGGGCACAATAACGTCTTGTTCACACCTTGCTCTTGATAACAAATATATTTCTTTCTGAAAACATACAGAGGATACAAAGTCAGAATGGACAGGATAAACACCATTTACAGCATCTCCTGCGAATGTTTAGTCCGATACATTGGAGAAACAAATAAGACCAACTTAATTTAGAACCTAGAATCATAACGAGACCCAATGATACCGACCTATCTGCAACAGCCCATCCTGTCAGAGAAGAAGACCGTATAACAAATTAGAATAGTTACAAAAATAATAGATATGAACCATAAACGCACAAAAACAGAAAGATAAAAGAAGCCTTCTATATGGACCTAACTGATAACACGGTCAGCCTAGCATAGAAGTCGGCAAAACCTGGTTACCCCTCTTGAAAGCATTCAGATAGTTGATTTATATTTTAATTGATTACAAAGTAATAATTATATCTAGGTGATCGTATAGCGTATCAGCCACGACAACGAAACAAGCTTAATACATATATAAAGTTTCAAGGAGAGAAGCCTGGTAGTTAGATATAAGGTTAGGTGCACAGAAACTTGGTAGATAGATAAATTAAACAGTTACAAGCAGAGAAGCTTGACAGATAGATAAGTTAAACAGTTACAAGCAGAGAAGCTTGATAGATGAATAAATTAAACAGTTACAGGCAGAGAAATTTGACAGATAGATAAATTAAACAGTTACAAGCAGAGAAGCTTGACAGATAGATAAGTTAAACAGTTACAAGCAGAGAAGCTTGGTGGATAGATAAGTTAAACAGTTACAAGCAGAGAAGCTTGACAGATAGATAAATCAAACAGTTACAAGCAGAGAAGCTTGATAGATAGATAAATTAAACAGTTACAGGCAGAGAAACTTGACAGATAGATAAACTAAATAGTTACAAGCAGAGAAGCTTGATAGATAGATAAATTAAACAGTTACAGGCATTGAAGCTTGATAGATAGATAAATTAAACAGTTACAGGCAGAGAAGCTTGATAGATAGATAAATTAAACAGTAAGAGGCAGAGAAGCTTGACAGATAGATGAATTAAACAGTTACAAGCAGAGAAACTTGGTAGATAGATAAATTAAACAGTTACAATCAGAGAAACTTGAAAGATAGATAAGTTTAACAGTTACAAGCAGAGAAGCTTGATAGATAGATAAATTAAACAGTTACAAGCAGAGAAACTTGGTAGATAGATAAATTAAACAGTTACAGGCAGAGAAGCTTGATAGATAGATAAATTAATCAATTCCAAGCATTGAAGCTTGATAGATAGCTAAATTGAACAGTTACATGCAGAGAAGCGTGATATGTGAATAAATTAAACAGTCACAGTTTTAGAAACACGAATCCACCCTGAAGTTGGGTAATATCGCTATAAGAATAGAGTTGAACGGATGGAAGGAAGGCGGGATATCTTTCTAGCCTGGTAGTATTAAACTGCTATTGGTTTCATACGTCAGGGTGGAGCAATTGGGTTCGGTCACAGATCGAGGGCGTGGAACGTGAGCTTTCTGGTGATGACAAATTTGAGTCCCACCTGTCCTCTTAGTTGTATATAGCCCCACTAGAGGGCGTGTGGTAAAGATTGCAGCTGACACTATAACTTACCCTGTGGGAGGTAGGTGATGATGGGGAAAAGTCGGGAGCATATAAAGTACTTTTTAATGACTTTGTTATGGTTGACAGTAAACGAGCTAAAGTACAATACGTTAGCAGAAAGTACACATATCTGTATCTACAATCTTCACTTATTTTGTTTTATGTACCTAAATGTGTGTTGTTGTTTTTCCAAATTAACTCTTAACTTTTACGATTGTGATTTAAAAAAATGCTATATATAACCAACAAAAAAAAAGACGTTCGTTCTATATCCCACATCCTTTAGCTAAATCTTCTACATATCTAGAAGTAGAGCTTTGAAATATTTTGACATACTTCCAGAAAGTCCGCATGTATCATCTTTTCAAGCTTTCCTCGTGTGTTATTTGGACTTATTAATGTAGACGATTCCTGAAGATTGATCACTTTAGAAATTTCGGGTTCTGTACAGGAACGGGAGGAAGCCGCTCATCCCTTACATACCTGAAGAAATGTTAGCGTGTTTTTAATGGGCGTTAAAAATAACCATCAAGTTTGTTTTTTTTCTCTCCAGTACTACTTCTTAGTCGTTTACTCTTCTCTTGATTTCTTGACGTGAAAAGTATTTCCTTATGAGAGACAAACCTACTTTTCAGTGATCCTCTCAACAAAATCATTATCTTTCAATTCTGAAATAACAAGCCTATCTGTCTATCTGTTCATTTCCCAACCGTCAGTATATTTGTTTCCTTATCTGTTGTCTTGATTGTTGGTTTATGCTCTTCTTACCATATACTTGTCTTTATCGTTTTTGTTTTTGTTTTTTAATCCGCTATACACTAGTTTTACTATTGTGATATCTACATTTAATTATATACCAGAGAAGGTCACGACTAATTGACTAAACGCGATAATTGTCTGATGATGGAGAGATAAAGAAACATATCTATATTTGTCTTTTAACATAACATCAAAGCCTGAATATCGAATTACGTAAGCATAATTTTTACAAAAGGTGAATCGAAGTCAAGTAACCCTTAACAAAAAGCTTGTGAAGGTGTAAGTAAGGCTTACCGCTAGGATAACAGTTCAAGAATAAACTTTAATGAAAGTGACACTGTTCATACAAAAATGTTTTCAACAGTAGGTAAGTTTTGTTTCTTAAAATTCCTAACGTAGGTAAAGTCCGTGTACAATTCTACACAGTAAGTACGTTTTATTACAATATCCTTACAAAAAGTTTTTCTAAGATACAGCATTAAGACAGCTTGCAGAAGTTATTAGGCTTAAACCAAGATGAACTTTAGAAACACGTCTACTATTTAACTGTAAAGTGTTTCTGCTCAAAATATTTTTTATAAATATACAAGTAGTTTAGCTGTATTATGTAATTTTTTTTAAAAAGCATGTATAAATATTTCGTCTAGGTAGTATTTTATCACATTATTTACAAGTCGAGAACCCAAGTTTGGGTTTTCTTTGTATTGTAAGTTTTCTTTGTATTGCTATTATTATTTTACGTTCATCAACTATCGCAATACCGTAAAGAGCATCATTTAGATTGATCTTGTACGTGTATATTGGGTGAAAAAATTTATTAAGCCTAATGCACTGAAAGAAAACGGTAACATTTTCAGATATCACCAGGATCACAAATGTTACAAGTTTTTATATTTTAAGGTTGATGAAACTTGCATTGTTTGTATTTTGTGAAATAACAACAAGTATAATTCCCGCATGGAAACCATGAAGTGTGAATGTTCAAACCTTTCATTTAGTTATTAAGCTTTCTGTTTTTGGTTTGTTTAAGCGTAAAGCTGTACAATTCGAGCACTGGTTTATACCCAAACTTATCGCTAAGTCACAGGGTGGAACCTTTCTGTTGAATCTGGTAATTCAATTAAAATTAATCCATACTAATAATAAAGTGATATTAAGTTTGAGTCCTTCAAGTTTAATAATAGTTAAAAACCTGATAACGCTATTTTTCACATATTTTCAAGAGACCCTATTTAAGTAGGCTGAAACGTAACCTCCTAATCTACCTAAAATGAATAACAACAAGTATATAATTTATTAATATCAAAGTAGTTTTTTCGTTACGTTTCTTGAAATAATTTCAAATCATATCTTTTTTAGTGTAATGACATTTTTGGGTTCAAAATATCACAAAGCTTTGTATACTTTCACGAAGGATACTTTGTACTTTTTCTAATGTTATTATCATTATTGACTCACATTTTAAAAGAGGAGAAAACGGTTATTTTTTCTTGATTAAATACTTACACATATATATATGTATATTCTTATCTCTGGTTCATAATTAGGAAGAAATAAAGAACTCTAACAAGATAACAAAAATTTCAAACATTGTCATGGTTACGCTAGTACTTTTAATCAATTTCAATGTTGATCTGTTTCATTTTCAGGACAATCTCTTGCTGCTAACTCGATTTTTGTATGGTACGTTTAGAGCAACTGTTTCCTTAACTTATTATAAGAATATTAGTCCATAGCGTGAGTTTATATGAATCATTAAATTCGACTTTCAGTAGAAATTTTGTTAGTAAAAATGTCAGAAAGTTTCTGTTTGAGATGCAATTTCTTTTTGTAATTGACTATATTTGATTTTTATTTAACACATTCTAACGCGTTTGTTAGGTACTTTAACATAGAAATAAATAAACTATAATACTATTTAAACATGTTTCTTACGAAATAATATTAACCATTATAATTGTGTATTTCAATTAGTTTTAATGAACTCTACGAATATGCAGTATTTCATATTGTCGTCCCTTTACTATCATGCCTGTTAAATTATTCTAAACATAAACGTGTTTGTAGCATTTATACAGTGTTCGGAATACGTGAGAACTGCATGCAATGCAGACTGTCATGATGAAACCTGAGATCGGAAGAACCCAACTCTGTCGTGAGAAGGCGTTCCCTCCCGCCTCCTTTGTTTCAGTTGCAGGAAGATGAAGGTGACAAGACGGAGGTGTCATGTAACAAGAGAGAGAGGAGCCTTTCTGTAGGCACCCTGCTGATATTTCTATAAGAAACTACGCAGTTTCTTTAGGGCTACAGGCCGGTACAGATGGAGAGCTATATGACACAGTTGGAGAGAAGTGTTGACTATCCTGCTAGAACCACACTTCCCGGAACTCTGTGGTCGTACGCACTCGAGTTATGACGAGAAGTGAGCAGCTTGGCTGGCTCCTGTGCTGCGTGTAATTATCACTCCTACTGCAGTACGACAGACAGTGTGTGGTCAGGGCCGATCTTCTGCTGTTTTCACATTCTGCTGACCTGTCAGCGCACGTTCACCATTTAGATAGGTCCCGATCCGAGAAGGCGGAGCTTCAAGGTACACTCGTGTGCTTCCTCCTCCTCCCTCTTGATACAGTCTGCGCGATGCACTTGGATCTTAAAACAGTCGTCTCTGATCTCTGGATAAATATGTATAACCCGTTAGCCTCAAGAACCTGTCCGTTCACCATCAGTTCCTTGATGACGGCAACCACACCGGACTCCTACCTCACAATCACGAGCCACCAGCCGAGCTTCACTCCAACAGGATCGTTACCAGGAGCTGTCCCCCGAACATCAACCGGGGACTACTGCTACGAATGGGCCACTTCGCCTCTGCAGCCTTCGCCGACCAGCCATAACTCCACCTCTCCTGTCAAGGATATGGAAGGTAAAAAAAAAAGTGTTAGCTTTATCTTTATTATTACAGATTTGTCTGTTTAGCTTTATAGAAAAACAAAGTACCTTCTAAAATTAAATCTAGCATAACACAACAGTGACATCAAGTATCAATAGCAGGTTATGCAGAATGATCAACAGATTTTGTAAGAAAGAAAACGTTTCTGTGTAAAGAGTATTTTTTATTTCTACCCGATGCCAGCCACTGTATATATGTTTATGTTAGTGGCTGAGATTTTAACTTTTACAATTTAAATATCTTACTACCTATTACAAAATCTACTCAGTCTTATATATTTTCACTGTAAAAAAAAAAAGTCTTGAAGTGCCCTTTGAGTTACCTAATCAGTAGTTATTTACATGCATTATTACTATGATCTGTCACATTTTGAAGCAATGAAGGCTATGAAAGAAAACCACAATTGTTTAACCTCTTTGCTTTAGCTTATTGCTAAGTACACTCACTGTTAAACGATAAAGAAGATTCGATCTGCGGGTTCCATTCTTGACAGTAAAGTTCAATCTCGTAACATACACACCAACGTGAAGAAAATATTTAACACATTTTCCCAAACTAGAGAACAGCTAACTTGTTCTATCAAAAAAAGGTTGCACTTATCAAATGATTTGGTGAAATACTGAAGAGTATGCCACAAGTTTGCCTGTATTTTATCTTCACGTTTAATAAGAACAAACACCGTGGATTATCAAAACTTTTACGTCAGAAGACGAGAAATTGTATGAGCACTGACCAGTATAAAAAAAAAAGTCAAGAAACAAAGCAAAAGTTATACTAGCACTGGGACTCGCAGCTTTTAAAAATGTTTACATAAGTTATGAACTATTCTATTTTTTTCATGTAAAAATACAGGGTGATGTAAAAGTCGTGCACCACCACGACTTCTCAAAGTCCTGTTTTTAAAGCTGTTCGAAATATGCATCACTGATATCACGACACAAATGTCACAAGAGAATCAGTTCCACACGTTTTTGCAGAGATATTGACATCCCAAACACTCACTGAATAATAAAAAAGAGACATATGAAAAACAAGCATGACTCAGGAAAATAATAGAAATGTGGTGGTGCATAACATTCGATCTAAAATGTTTCTTTTTTGAAGAGGTTTCGATACTCTGTAATTAATCCAGTGTTCGTGTTTCTTATTAAGCACAAAGGGCTATCTGTGTTTTTCCAACCACGGGTATCGAAACCCGGTTTCTAGCAGTATAAGTCCGCAGACACACCGCTGTGCCACTGGGAGGCAATTAATTTGGATGGTAAGGGAATATCACTCAATTAAATTAACTATCACCAACAACTTAAAAGTATTAAAGTTCCCATATAAAGTCTCATTTGATTTCCTTATTGTGTTAGGTCTTTTTAGGTCAAAGCTGTTACTGATTAGTCAATGAATTTGTGAAACTATAATTGATGTATTTTATACGAAAGTCTAAATGTTTCTTTCCCTCAGTCTGCCACTAGTGTTTGACAATTTTCTTAGAAGTAGACGTATTCCTTTTTGATTGTTATTATGGATAAACTCAGAGAACACATGTTTTCGTAGAACTGATCAATGGGTGGAAACTCTTTATCGTGTCGTGTTGAAAGTCGGAAAAACAGTACTTTTATTCATTGTCTTGCAGTCTACCATGCTATGCCTACATTTCAGCCTTTAAGAGCTCAAACAGTAACACTTCATTTAATTTTGTGTTTTGAATTTCACTATTTGAATAGGTTCATGATTTATAACTTCAACCTTTTTTGTGAGTTAGGTGTGGCCTAGAAGTTAGCGTTCCCAGACTATGGATTAGAGGATTCGTGGCCCGTGTCACAAAAACGCGCTGCGCACTTTAGAGTTGTGGGTGCGCTATAAAAGTGACGATGAAATCCAACTGTTCCGTCAGCCAAGATTTGGCGGTGATGCTGTTGACTAGCTGCCTTCTATCTAGTTCAAAATTAGGGACAACTAGACGCAGCTAACCCTTGTGTATAATTTGCGCGTTAAATTCTAAACGAAACTTTTATTTTGTATTTTGATCAATTTGTGTAATCTGAACTGTGAAGAAAGCAAAAAATATAGATATGTTCTTAATTTACCATGTAGGATACTTCCTTGTTTGTTGTTAAGTGAAAATTTGCATAATGGGTTATTTGCGCTGTGCCCACCTCAAGCATCAGAACCTAATAGTCTGTCTGCGTTGTGCTCACCTCAGGAATCAGACCCAAATATTTAGCGTTAGAAGCAATCAAGCTTACAGCTGAGCCACTGAAGGGGGGATGTAAGGTAATATCCATTTGTTATCTGGTTTCAGGGTTAACTCACATATATTTTTAAAATTATGGTTATAGAGGCATTCTTGTTCTAAGATAAAATAATGATCAACTGATTTACTGGTAGATAATCAAAACTTGAGAAGTGGCGATTATAATCATGGTACTAGCTTCGAATTAATACTACGAAGTTTATACTTGTGAAAGAAAATTGCAATAGATATCATATTACCGGACCATGAAACGGAAACGACATTTCGACTTGTTTTGTGTTCTTTAGAAGAAATTGAGACTTGATCTAATTTAAGATAAAAAAGACATCATCAGCATTCAGTCGATGTTTTGTTATGTAACTTCATCGGTACTAACAGAAATGTCATTTTAGCAGTAATGGTGAAACATTTATTATATCTTGAGTAATAGGCCTGTTTATATTTCAACTATAAAATTATAATACCTCATTCGGTTTAAAAATTATCTTTAAACTTTCTAAATGTATTTTGTTAGTGTATGTCTGAATGGAAGGACTGAACCATCGAAAGAACAATGAGTATATATTCATGTAAAAAGAAATTATCATATGTGCGGCAATAATTTGGATTTATTCAAGTGAGTGACACACACAAAAAAAGAACAAGTTATAGCTTCATAAATGGGTGAATTTATCAAACTTGAAAGTTTTGTTAAACATATATACATATATATATATATGCATGTATATATACGATATTCAATGCCCATCCCTAGAATAAACTGTTTGATTTAAGGCAGCTTCGATTAAACAAGAGTCTGAGTAAACTTGTGGTGTAAAGGGAGAGAAACTACTCCAATAGTTTATACTTGTAGCTGAAACTATAAAAATTCTGAGTTCTGTATTATTAGACATATCAATTTGCTTCTTCAGACATTTTTTTTTACGCGTTATTAAAAGTATCATTCTATTTTGTAAATGATTTTTTATATTTTTAACGTGCACGTTTACTAAGCAAGTTGACTGATATAAGTAATGATGCATTCAGTATAAAACGTATTCTTTCTTGATTAATTAATTGCTTTTGTGCCTAAATTTTGCATAGCTTTTGGATGGCTTTTGGAAGGAGGATAAACGTTCTTGGATATTCGGCTAGTCATCAAGTGTCTTTTAATGTTCTATGATGGTTATATAAACACACAAGTTGGTCTTATGTTACTAATACGCACTGACAGAATATAAAAATGCTGCATAGTAATAAAAGTATTATACGGTAATACTTTTAGAGCTAGATAATATATAGAAGATTATAATGTATAAAGGAATTAAACGACAAAGGGAGAACAGTTTTCATGAATCGAACATTTTGTAATGCTTATAAGAAACATACTTTTAAAGTTGATTTTCCAAGTAAATCAGTTATTTATTCTCCTTTGTTTTTTGCATGGACGTATTTGTGAGATTTCTTTGCTTTGTTATAAAGCACAAAGCTATACTTTGGACTATCTGTCTTCCGCTCATCAGCCTTCAGACTTATTTCTGAGTCCCTAATGGGAAGCGTGTTTGTTAGAATAAGATACATTAGACTTGTCACAACGAAGAAGTTAAATACATTGCCAATGGTGATAAAAACGACCTTATTTTGGAGCTATGTTCTGTTTTTTTTTCTTCTTCACAAAATGAAATCAAGACTGGATAATATATGGATATCTTCTTCTTCTTTTTACAGTTATTGCTGTTTAACAACTCTGGTTACTTGCTGATTCTCTCGAGTTTAAGCAAACATTCATCACAGAATTACTACTTAAAAATATTATTACTTATTTTATGTTTGGTATTTTGTAGGCGTGTCAAAAACTGCATTTCTTTAAAATTTTAAAGTCGTTTAGAGGTAGGTTAACTTTTCACTATTATTTAACTTGAATCTTGGAAATGACAATTTGTTCTGTATACCCGCTTGTTTTAATAAGACCATGACATCTTTTTCGCCATTAAAATTCCATTTTTTTAAGTTTCCTTTAAATATTGCGTTTCTCTTACATGGTGAAAGACTAAACTGGTTAAACGTTAAAACAGTTTAAAGTTTATTTTATAATAACCTGTCGGCGAGAATAGAAAAATAAGCGCTGTTAATATGTACTTCGATGGCCGAACAGTTCCTGAAAAATAAAGATGGAATACTTCTTAAAACAAAATAATTAAACTTATGTAAGACTAAACAGATATTTCAGTTTCTAGTAGAAGCAATCCGCGAATTCATTGAACATAATTTCGATAGTCCCGTATATGATTTGCAGAGGTTGTGTTGATTTAACGAGCCTACTTGTGCTCGGTTAGGCTTAGTTGTTTTGCTAAACGGTAAAGATCAAATTTAGGTTTGAAATTTTATTCAAAGTATTTTAAAGTATATCACATTGCTACATCACAGTTTATTTAAATAAGAAAGTTGATTTTTTTCAAACAAGTAATGCCAATTAAACCACCCTTTTTTGCACGTGTAAGGCGTTGGACAGTAACTCTTATAAATAAAATACTATTTATGTTGTATAGTGATTTAATGAAAAATATATATAAATAAAACAAAATTTGAATGTGGATTTCATCTCATGATGAATCGACATTATGAGGTATAATAATTAAAACCAGAACTCATCTATTGTACAAGTTGCTTTTATTGTGTTTTTGAATTAATTATTCAGTTAGTTGGCTCCTCACTAAATATTTAAGTACGATTGATCTTTCAAATACATACAATAAAGATTTTATTACAGAACCAGATTATGTAGAATTAAACATATCAATCACTTTATAAAAGCTGTTTTCGCATCAGGAATCAGAAACTAAATCTATGTCCTCCAGTGGCTTTAAATTATTATTATTGCATTCTACAAAATTATTTGAACAGTTAAAATTAGTGGTACTACAAGAATAAAAACCTCGTATTTTCATTGGATAATTCTTAGTAAAACGTGAAAGGTTCGCGGGAGTGATTCCTGCTGGTTTGATAAAAGGTGCAGTTCGAATGGATTTTAAAACCATCAAAGTCAGTTAGTTATTAACTAAACACAAATAACAGATATAATAATATATAATATAACAGATATAATATCTAAATTATAAGCAAATAACACTAAAACGCTAAATCATTCAATCTGTAGTTAAATATAAAGTGGAAAACTTTTGATAAAAAACACTGCAAGCCAGGTAGTGTTATTAATCTAGATGAGTTTTTTAAATATTCTTTTAAGTCAGTAAAGGATTTAAGTTATTTTTTTGTGCTTTACTGATTTCTAAAGCAAGTTCTGATATTAAGGTATAAGTATTACAAGAATATCAACATATGTAAGGAACTAGTTAAACCATGAAAAATAATCTACATTTTAACATTGAATATTAATTTTCTTTCTATATTATTATTATTTTATTTGAATTATCTTTACTAAAATATGTAATATAGTAAAGATAATTCAAATAAAATAATAATATAGAAATAAATTAAATATTCAGTGTTAAAATAAAATAATGTTATTCTATTAATTTCTACCATAAAAATCTGATTTGTAAATAACTTAAGTAAAACTGATAATAATAACAATTCACTTGATTAATCTGATTCACACCATAACAGTCATTGTGCATGAAAGTTGATAAAACGAATACTAGGGCAAATAATAATGATGATGACAAAACCTTGTCAAAACTTTGTACATTAAAACAAAAAACTTTTACTAAGTTTTCATTATGCATAAAAGCTAAACTTTTATTTAATAACATTTATCTATGTAAGTATACAATTTTAACAATCAGTAAAAAGTAAGATAATTAAACAAGTATAGTACTTACTTTAAAACTTTTCATCCATATTATCCTAAATTATAGCCACTAACAATAAAAAATAGCACAAAGTTTTCTATATTTTAGCTTGCATTCTAGGTATTTGATGTAAATTATGGCTAAATTATAATAATATTAAATTTACATAACAAAGAAAAATATTGTGTTTAGTATGATATGAATCGTTTGATAATAAGAAATGTTCTCAAATTATGTTCCCAAACGACCAGAGATTAATTTAATAAATAAAAATCTTGGCCATGAAGAAGAAACGTGTAAACGATGGATCTTTAAGTGGTTTGACTGTTTACTTTATAATCTGCATAAATAAGAAAATGGGGACAGTTTCTATGGTTAATTAAAACTTTTATCGCATGGAAGAATGGGGTTATAATAACACGTTATTTAAATAATTCACACCCACATATGGAGACGAAGTCCTAATATTACACATTTTTTCGCTAGGAAATTTTTAGTATTGTAGAATGATAATAGAAACAAAATTTGAATGAGTTAAAAGTTAGTTTATAGTTCACCATCTTCCGTCTCTCTCTCTGAATAAAATGGTGAACAAGTAGTTGAAGGAAATATTTGAGATTATTGTATATATATATACATATAATTGTGATTGTTAGTCAAGATTTCTTAGTGCCTTCTTCGAGAAAATGAAAACATTCTTCAAAAACAAGATAATCAGGGGCTATAACTACAAACAACTACAATTAATATATATATATAGTGTATACATGTGTGTGTGTGTGTGCTCTATCTTGTGAGTGCATCACTATCACCTTCTTACTATCCTGCCACGAAGTTATTTACCGATTGGTAACTGAATTGTAAACCACATTGGATTTTTCAAAGCAGTGATTAAAAGTGATACGAAGGTTAACGTTTACTTCAGTTATAACCTCGGGTAATGTTTCTGTTTTTGTTTTTTTAACCTGAACAGTATTGGAACAGCCCTATACAGCAACCAATACTGTTACGCGTTTTAATATGCCTGGTTAGAATATTACCACTAGTCATATTCTAGTTGTATTATTATAGGGTGTGAAACATGTAGCAAGTAGGGACTACCAGATGGTACCACTTTAAGCACAATTACCATGAAGTAAAATAATGATTTGTCAGATATGAGTGTGACGTCAGATCTTCTATTTCAGCATTTCTTCTAAATGCGAGCACGGAGAGACCAAGCTTAGCGGAAACCTACCGGGCCACCACGGCCGACACATTTGCCGTCCAGGATTACAAAGATTCAGGGAGTAGTTCCCAGTCTCCTATTCATCCTGACCCTTCGTACAGCCCGAACAAGCCCCTGCATCCAAAATTGGTGAACGTAAACTGTAACTTAGAAATGAAGTCTCTTTGGGAAGAATTTAATCAGCTTGAAACAGAAATGATTGTCACTAAGGCTGGAAGGTAAGCTAACTTAGTTTCAGTGTAAGAGTCGAAGAAATGTAACTTCATCTAGTAAACTTTGAAAATTTCCTAATATATTGAAGTAATGTCAAAATCAATAAGAATTTATTTCAAAGTGGCTACTTACTCCTGTGCACCAGGCGTTCTACAGATTTGTTATTCTTACATCTAATGCTACAGTGGTACATCTTCCTTGTAAGTTGTGTAAACCATGCGGAGGACAATGGTACACACTTCTTGTAAGCTCTCTATATAGACCATCCAGGAGACTGCGTTACATCTTTCTTGTAAGTTGTATAAGCAATCAAGGGGACAGTCGTAAATCTTTTTTGTAAACTCTATAGACCATCTTGGGAACAGTGGTTCACCTTTCATGTAAACTCTATAGACCATCTTGGGAACAGTAGTAAACATTTCTTATAAACTCTATGACTACCTTTGGAACAGCGGTGCACCTTTCTTGTAGCTCTACAGATTATCCAGGTACATCTTTCTTGTAAGCTCTTTACATTAATCACAGCGTCTTTATTGCAAAGACTACAATACCCTACTTTATCGCTGCTGTTGTGCAGTTTTTCTATTAATGAATTTCATAAACCACGTTGTGGTATTGACAGGCTGTATAAATTTGCAGATGTTTTTTAATACTTCTTTTTCATATAGATTCTATTTCATGATATATTAGTGTTACATGAATGAACTGAGGAGTATTTAAGTACGCATGATTGAAAGTGCTTTTCTTTATTCCTGTCAATTTCCTTAACCTCGGTGAATTTTCATTCGCGAGCTTTGTGTTGGTGGTAAAAATCAGACATCTCAATTATTTCTCATCTTGTATATTGTTGATGCTATAAATGCATAGCTTACCGTAGTTTATCGATAGTATTTGGAGAGATTCTAATATAGCAAAGGAAGAACCAATTTTTATGTCATCTTCAAAAAATATATGGATCTGAATCAAAACTTAATAGAACCTTTTGGCAGGGAATTTTTACACGTATGGTAATAGAAATTTTTATTTTCAACTAGAATCCAATTTTAAAGTTTATGGTTATACGAGTCACATCTGCATCGTCATTTAAAAAAAAATACATTAAAGATTGTATGAAACTTTTATGTACTCCTCATGAATAATTGGTTCGAAAATTCAGTCCAATCTCTGAATTTGAAAAGCTCTTACCGAAAAAATGCATCAGAAACTCACAGCCAGTAGGTGTAACTAGTGTTTAACTAACAAAAATGGCTCCTCCATTAAACTTTTCTGTTTTCCTGATCTGACGCTGTTGTCTCTTTGTTATAGTTATCATATAAGTAACTGATCAGTATGGTTTAGACATTATCTAGCGTTTGATACAAAACTTGGAACGTCTCTTAGGCATCACTTAAGCTACACATATATACAGGCTTACAACAACAACAAAACATACCATTTAAAATACATGAACACGAAACCGATGGTATTTATTTTCAAGGCCTCCTGATGGGTGCTGCGTAATGTACGTTTATTTCTTTGAGTATTATTTTGAATTTAAAGGTTGTTTAAAGAGACAATACTTTATGATATTTGTTGTTAATATTCTGAAGCCCTTTCATTTGCTTAACATTTAACATTACACTATTGATGCCAGAAAGAAGCCAACTTGTAATATTACTCGTGTTACTGTCAGAAGAAAGTATTCATTTATCATTACGTGTATCGGTATCAGAAAGAAGACCAATTTTAACTATAATAATTATATATATATATATATATAAAAGTAAATATAAACATAATGAGTGTTCAAATAAAATAATAAAATAAATAATGTTGTGTTTGTAATTCGTATTCTATAAATCTGATTTGTAAATGTTTTAAATAAACAGATAATAATTAGAAGTCTCTTGTTTAATCTGATTCACACCATAACACTTGTTGCTCATGAAAATTGGTAATATATATTTATGTATGTCTGTTGTATCCCAACCAGTCTAATAAGCCCTGGTACCGGGCGAAAGACCTTGTCGCCACTAGCTTTAGCAGGTGTAATGTGGTTAACATACTATAACATATACTCTTGTGCATGCTTTCACTCATAGGTTTTAAATATACCTATATTTATGCCCAAAAGAAGGCAAGATTTGACATTGCCTATATTAGTATTAGAAAGAGGTGAAATTCGTTTTCCATTTGTAAACAGTAGCATATTTTAAGTGTAAAATCCATCAACCAACTTCTCTCACATACACGGTGTTTCAAAAATACTTTCTTCTTCATTTACTCATGTTCTTGCTGCTGATTTAAACTAAAAGGAGCGACATTTATATTAAACATAAATCAAATAATCTTAACTCAAAGGAATGATTAAAACAACTTTGATAAGCTGCTTATTTCGATTTGAATGTGAGAAGACAGTTTTGAGACATTTAATTACAAATGTAATATGTATATACTTTATCAATAATCAAATCACAACAATACAATAACAGACTTCTTAAGCAGAAAGATTAAAGAGTGGTTGAAAGAGATATTGATAAAATTGCTAAACTTGATATAACTTACATCAGTTAATACATACTTTAATGCAACTAATAATGCACATTTCAAAAACTAGTATAAAATACGCGTACCACCTTTGTTTTAAAGCAGAGCTACCGAATTGGATTTTTAAGATGTGTCCACCGTGGGGATCGATCCCTGAATTTTAGTGTTATAAGTCCTGGAAAGTATTGCTGAACAACCATCTAAAGAGTAAACTAGGAGGAAATTACTATTTTTAGAGACCATTCCATAAATGGTTACTTCCCTGTTTTATAAACAATCGACATTTTTTTTATATACTCATTTTGGCGCAGGTTGGCTGTGTTGTAGAGTTCTGGAGCTGGGGAGTCGGGTTCAAATCCATGCGATACTACAAAATATTTACCCCCACTTCGGGTGCGTTACGAGAGTGCCAGCCAATCTCTTAGCATGGATTGTTGGTGGCAGGGTGCTGCCTTACATCTGGACAGTAGCTCAAAATTAGAGACGGTGGCAGATAGCCTGAGTAACTTTGCCATAAATTAGAGATGGTGGATAGCCTTAGTGACTTTGCCATGCATTAAAGATGGTGGCAGATAACCTTAGTACCTTGGCCTTAAACTAGAGACGGTGGTAGGTAGCCTTAGTAACTGTGCTATAAATTAGAGATAGTGGTAGATAACCTTAGTAACTTTGCCATAAATTAGAGATGGTGGTAGATAACTTTAGTAACTTTGCCATAAATGCAAAATACAAATTGATACTCATTTACACAGTTATGCTGCTAATCTTACAGCAGATAAAAAATTGTTTACTTGCAATCTATGGTTCGCGGGTTCGAATCCCCGTCCCACTAAACACGCTCGCCCTTTCAGCCGTGAGGCCATTATAATGTGACGTTCAATCCCACTATTCGTTGGTAAAAGAGTAGTTCAAGATTGGCGATGACTAGGTGCCTTCCCTCTTGTCTTACACTGCTAAATTAGGGACGGCTAGCGCAGACAGCCCTCGTGTAGCTTTGCGCGAGATTCAAAACAAACAAATAAACTCTTTTCTTGTTGTTGCAATAATTAATTTGGATGTCATTATCTTGTTGTGTCGTGATCTCAAGCTGCACATTTCGAACACCCTTAAGGTAAAGATGCATAAAAATATTGGGGGTTTTCGACTTTCAGCTACTCATGTATATCTATGAAGCTCGCAACTGGTAATATCGTGCTCCTCAATTCTTTAGTAATGAGATGTTCATTATAGAAAAATGTGAAATTAAGTTGTGACTCAAAAACTGATTTATCTCCATCAAAGTAGAAATAAACTATGATAAGATATTCAAAATTTTAGAGTTAACAAAATGAACTATGCCTTATCAAAGATATATTTTTTTATTCTTAAGAATGGTGTACGGTACATTAGTTTGAATTTAAAAAGTGCATTGTAGTTTAAGACTTGTTGGTATTGGTCAGTTTTTAAGGCTTAACATTCGAAATGTGATTTATTTTTCTTGACATCTTTTGATATATTCTCTTTAAGGGAATTCAAAATCGAGTAAACACACAACCTGTTCGAAACGCTAAGTGGAAACTATTTCTGACGAAATGATTGACATTCATTTCTTTTGTATTTACAAGTAGCTAAATGAAGCTTTTTGAGAACAATCGGTTGTCACAGTGTTAGCAAAACAATATTCCTTATTATATGAAACGGATTAATGGTTTATACTGAATTTTATCCCTCCAATGATTTGCAAGAAAAGTCATTTTTTGGACCCATTCGCTGTTGTAAAAATTAATTTGAACTTGAGTTCGGTGTCTTCGATTACAATCGGTACTTTCCTTTAGGAAATCCAGGAAATTGGTCCACCATTTTAACATAAATGTTAATCTAATTTTAGGCATAATGATTTTACTTGTGGTAGTTTCTTTTTGGTGGATGAAAATTCTCCAAAACTCAGGCATTAGTGAAATAAAATTTTTATTTGGCCGATGGTTAAAATGAAAAAGACTCCACATGTTTCGGTAGCTTTACGTTACGATCATCAAGAGTACAAACCTACATGACAAGCGTATAATTTTATAAAGCAAAGGTTTAACTCACTATAATATATGAGGGTAGTATGAATATTGTACATAAGAAGTCAACAGTTCTTTCCAAAATTGTGCATTATCACCAGCTAATCCTTCATCTCTATTTAATAAAAAATTATTTATCTTATAGCACACAATTTCTATCGATTCTCTAATATTCACTTCAGTTTCAGTGTTAGGTTTATTTAAAATTATTGTTTCATGCCATTGTATGGAATGATCTGTTTCAACAATGTGTTCAGCAAGAAGAGAAATTAGCATTTTTCTTGTTATGTACATAACCTTTATGTTCATTAAGACGATATTTCAAATTACGTTTAGTTTGACCAATATATTTTTGTTGCATTCACACCTAATTTGATATATACTTTTTTTCTCTAAAATATTTTTTTATATTTCATACTAGGAAGTATTGTTTT